AAATAGAGTAGAAATCCAACATATTTTCTGTCTCTACATATTTAACACAATGCGAAAAGGTTGTATTTTATTGCTCTTTCCAAAGTATGCACATATCCTTAACAATTACTCTACATAATGATATCGGTAATGTAACTATAAAGCGTTGGTAATATACCGACACTTTTACGTTTAGATGAGGGCGCTAACCCGTCGGAGTTCGCCCGTTGCTCCGGCATCTTCTTAAGGGTCGGCAGGAGAGACAGTAGAGACCTCTCGCGGGAAGCCGTGAATTACGAATTCGCTTATCCCGTATTACGGCCAAAAAATAAAGAGAATCATGTTAAACCTGTGATATTTGTAATCAGTAGGATCATCCGCAGTCCTGTACAGAGCTATTTTTTTGAAAAAAAGAGTTAAAATAATATTTTATAAGTTGACAAGAAAGGTACATACTAGGTATAGCTCATGGCGGATTAGGGCCGGTATTCATAGTCCGTTCTTATATTCAAGATCGTCTTAAGTGCGGTCTTGGGTCGTCTTAAGATCTCATTCAACCGATGAAATGGCCGCTTAGCATCTTAAGATCGTACTTAAGACGATCTTGAATATAAGAACGGACTATGAATACCGGCCTTAGAGTTTAGAGAAAGCAACCACGTCAGTGTTTCTCGTGGGATTATTAGTTGACACTGTGTCACAAAATCGGATATCTTCAGCTGGAGGCATAAAAAAATCAAAAAAATTGTGCTCCAGGCATCCATGTCCATACACATTGACAGCCACAAAATGTCAATGAAGATTTGACGTGTTAAAAAACGGAACCTGACGAGAACATTTCAACGCGATGGATCTGGCCAAATCGTTTTTCAATGTTCGCGATCACGATGGTTATGTCGGGAAAGAGGAACATAACGTGAGTAATCGCGTGGATAAGTTTACAGTATCTTGTATTTTTGCGAAACTTGATAAAGATGTAATATGAAATACGTAAAATAGAAAAATTTTCTAATGATTTTATTATATAAATTATTTTTGGACAGTTTATAAAGAGAGAGAAAAACTTTCAATATAGAAATGTAAGTTAACTAAAACAAAAGATACAATTGAATACAGAACCCAAAAATTATAATTAAAGTTATAATTATATAGATTGACACATAATAATAAATAAACACACTTAAAGAAAAAATATAAAAATTGAGCAATAATAAAATCAATGTGTGACTTGAAGATTATATAGTAGAAATTAAGAAATATCAAAATAATTTCTAAAGATTTCGACTTATATTAATGAAAAATAAACTATTTATCTTTGCATATTTTATGTCTGATATAATTGATCATTTGGGTATTTTAGAAAAAATTGGAAGCAGCCGCCTCTGAAGATGAGGTTGAAGTAGAAATTCAAGGTTTATGCAATGAAACTCTGTCACCGGCACCAGGTGGTCCATTTTCAGCATTAACTCCATCTATGTGGCCACAAGATATTTTAGCTAAATTGAATCAACCCGACGATCCAAATTCACAGCCTGAATATAGGTAAAGTTTACATATATTACAGTGTACAAAAGCTTTTGG